TCAGTCAGTCTGTGCCTCCAAAGTTCCAAGAGCTCTTCCTCCAAGACCCCTATGTTGTGTTGACAATCAGTTCTCACAAAGACCCAGTTTAACCTACCCACCAGCACAAGGTCTGTCTTATTCAAACATTCCACAGATATTTATGAAGGCTCTACTAAGTATTGGACACAATACTGAGAACTGCAAGTAAAGTAGTGAACAAGATGCTATCCTTGCCTTCAAGGAGTTTAAAGTCTAGTGGAAAAGATGAGCAGGAGGAGCACAAGGATCTATAAGATGATATGGAGTATAGTAGAAAGAACAGTAAACTAAGAGTCAAGAAACCTCAGTTTTAACTCAGTTTCCTACTATTCCAGCAGTCCAAGATTTGGTAAGCTATGGTTACCAAATTAATCTTCATTAATCTTCATCTACAAAACAAAAGGGTTGAATAAGATAATACTTAAGGTCTTTTTCGGCTCTAAGGTACATGTTCTAAAAGAAGATAACACAATAGCAGCAGCAACAGCAGTCACTGAAGGCTAATCATGGCCAGAAATCTTGCTGGGCACCATTTACTTAAGATATAATTTTTGTATGAAATGGCATTACTGGTGTTACTGCATCACTTTTTTTTTTTTTTTAACTGAAAATAGGATGACTTGTTTGATTATATTTCTTTGTATGGGTATACTCTATTTCCAAGAAGAATGCGAGTGATTTACAGTAAAAACACATAAAGAGGAAGCCTTCATGGAGAATAAAGACCACATTAAATAATAAATGTAAGAAAGGTACAACAAAAATTATTATTTTTTTAATTATAGGCCATGTTGCCAAGCTATGGTGACTGAATTGAAAACTGTCCTAATCCTAAACTCCCTGATAGCTAAAGGAAAGAGGAAATTGCAACTGGACACAGAGTTCTTAGGAAAAAGAAAAGACACTTAGCTCAAAAAAGAGAAAGTTTTTCCAGGCTAAGCTATACGAAATATTTACAACCATGTTTTTAGTTTGATTCTGGTGGGAAAGAGGGAAATGAGAAATGAAGGGACATATTTTTTTAAATAATTAATAAAGTAGTTAATTAATTGAAACATTTTTCAGATATTTTAAATAAAAGTTTAACTTTACAGTTATATATCCTACTTATGGTTCAAATTAGTTGTTTTCAATTAATGTCTATTTTGTGATTAATTTAGAAACACTTTAACTATTATTCTATCTGCCTATCTGAAAGAAGATTCAATTTCAAAGGAATGTATAACCTCATTAATATGGCTGCAAAACCCTCTTTGATTTTTTTCAAATGAAAATAAGTTTACCTGTTGGTAAGACTCACAGCCAGAACCTACTGATGCATTCCTTCCAAAATAATCATCCCATCAGTCATGCCTATTCACCCTTACCTCCATAATTTTGTGCTTTTAAGAAAGATTTACAGCCGGGCTCGGTGGCTCAGCTTGTAATCCTGCACCTTGGGAGGCTGAGGTGAGTGGATTGCCTGAGCCCGCGGGTTCGAGACCTGCCTGAGCAACTTGGTGAGACCTCATCTCTACAATAAATCAAAAAAATTAGACGGGTGTGGTAGCGCGTGCCTATAGTTCCAGCTACTTGGAAGGCTGAGGTGGAAGGATCGCCAGAGCCCAGCAGGTCGAGGCTGCGGTGGCCAGGAGCGGCCACTGCACTCCAGTCTGGGCGACAGAGTGAGACTCCAACTCAAAAAAAAAGAAAGATTTACAAAGTAAGTAACAAAAACAAATGGTGTATTCATTTGATTCAAATACAGTTGTAAAACCTTTAGAAGCTTTTATATATGAACTCTCTTTAGGAGAGGAACTTACAGAGAAAACCTATTCGTTTGTTTGCTTAAAAGAAAAAAATGCATTTGAAATATTCAAAAACTATAAACAAGGCTACATACATTTACCATTTTAACTATTTTTAAGTGTATAGTTACATTGTGCAATCATCACCATGCTAATTCTTTTTAAATATATCCATATGCTATATCTCATTGTCAGCACTAACAGTTCTATATTGTCTTCCTAAATATAATTTTATACTGAAACTTAATGTCTTCTTATCTAAACATGTTCTAAATAAGAGATGCAAGTCACAGTACTACCATAACTGATTTTGCAACCTAAGGTTTCCGTGACATCAGCAAATTATTTCATAGAAAAGAAAGCTTTATCAACTAAATCCAATTAATTGTTTTAAATAACTATACTAATAATTGAACTCAGCCCACAACCTTGGATGTTTGAAAGAAAATGAGCTCTGAAATCTAGAAATGTCTACTATCAAGCAAGCATTTCTTAATAGTAAAATCTTAAGTGAAGATTTTCCTATAAATAGTCCCACTGTGGCTCAATGGTGTAGGGTAAAAACAAGGATGGGCTAGGAGCAGGAAAAGAGGATATACAACAGATGTTACAGAGCCACTTGAAGTCAAAAGCACACTCCTTTGTATAGGCTTTGCAATTCTGCTCATTAGAAAAGAATTTTCTAAGTTCCTTGCTGGGCATTTCTAAGTAATAACATACTAACCTGTTACCTGACCCCTTTAAAAAAGTGAATTATGCCTGGGCGTGGTGGCTCAAGCCTGTAATCCCTGCACTTTGGGAGGCTGGGGTGAGCAGATTGCCTGAGCCCACAGGTTCAAGAACAGCCTGGGAGATTTGGCGGGACCTCATCTCTACAATAAATCAAAAAATTAGCCAGGTGTGGTAGTACACGCCTGTAGTTCTGGCTACTTGGAAGGCTGAAGCAGAAGAATTGCCGGTGCCCAGCAGGTCAACACTGGGGTGGTGGTGAGCATGCCACTGCACTCCAGCCTGAGCAACAGAGTGAGACTCCAACTCAAAAAAAAAAAAAGAATTATAAGAGTATAAGAGTAGAAACTAGAATTGGATAAGTAATTCACCCATTCAGTATCTACTACAACTAAGTAGGGCAGTTTTCCCTTGGTATCATATTTGAATTTTAAAATCATTTCCTTTTTTACAAGTCATTTTAAATTATGAGATATTAATTAATCACAGATTTCATAGAGCAACATTTATTGGCTTCGGGAAATATTGTAACTTGGTTAGAATAAATAATTTGATCTTTCCAGTAGATCCTTCTTATAATCATTAAAATACATCTGCTATAAATGGAGGGAAAATACATACCAATTAGGAACTAACAATTCTTAGTCAAGAAATCTTGAATTTTTTAGCTTAGAAGGCATCTATAATTCAAGTTCATACACACAATGCAAGAGTTCCATCTTCATCACAAATGGAAAGGACACGCTTACTTACTGGGTCCTGATTACATCAATCAAGCCTAAGTGGCTATTCAACAAATGTCAAATTAGTGAATAAATATTCTGGGAGAGGCCTTCTTGGAGAAGGAGCTGCCATTATCTAGAGAAGGGAAGACATTTAAGGGAAAGAGAGATTTAGTGAATTTTACTCTCTTGAAATAACAGGAAGATCAGACTGCTCCAAAAGAACAAAAAGGATTCTGAAATAAAAACTACATCCAGGATCACAATAAATATTTTATAAAAGTCTTTGACTTTGGGAGCTTCTTTTTGTTGTTTTTATGGGTGACCAGCAGTAAAAGTCTCAGGATAGAAGGGATCCAGACATGGGGCAGCAAAAAAGAGAGATCTACCACATAGTGCTGGCAGAAAGGAGAAGCTGAACCCTAGGGATAAGGATGAGCAATGCTAGCTTTAAAAAAAAAAAAAAAAACAGTGAACTACAGGCAAGACTAGGTGGCTCATGCCTGTAATCCCAGCACTTTGGGAGGCCAAGACAGGAAGATCATGTGAGGCCAGGAGTTCAAGACTAACCTGGGAAACATTTTAAAAGCTAGGTAGGTGTAGTGGTGCATGTCTGTAGTCCTAACTACTCAGGAGGCCGAGGTGGGAGGATCACTTGAGCCCAGGAGTTTGAAGCTGCAGTGAGCTGATCATACCACTGCACTCCAGCCTGGGTGACTGAGACCCTGTCTCTAAAAATAAAAAAATAAAGACAATAAATTGGGGTGAAGACTATATCTTTGCATGTGTATATTAAAACTGAGCATGACCTGTAGTAGCTATTCACAAAATGTCTGTTGAATGAATGAATGATTTCTTCCTTCATTTCTTCTTCCCTTCTCTTCCATTTAGCCCTTCATTATCCCTCTAGTACCCAGCATCCATCCAATTCCTCCCTCATTTCCTCCCCACAGTGTGTAAAGTCTAAAGGATCAACAGATTCCTTGACAAGGTGCTTTAAAACTTTTCAGTTTAGGCTGGGTGCAGTGGCTCATGCTTGTAATCCCAATACTTTGGAGGTTGAGGTGGGAGGCCAGGAGTTCAAGATCATCCTTGGCAATATAGCGAGTCCCTATCTCTACAAAAAAAAAAAAAAATTAGCCAAGCGTGGTGGTACATGCCTGTAGTCCCAGCTATTCAGGTAACCGGGACAGGAGAACTGCTTGAGCCCAGGAAGTCGAGGTTGCAGTGAGCCACGATCATGCCACTGCACTTCAGCCTGGGCAACAGGTAAGATTCTGACTCCAAAAAAAAAAAAAAAAGAGAGAGAGAACGAAAGAAAGAAAACTTTTCAATTTGCCCTTTAGAAACCCATGGAGATATATTTTAGGTCTATGCACTGAAAGGAAAGTCAACAACAGCCACCCTTCCTACGAACAGTGTTAAAGTCCAGAGGGAAAGTCCGGGAACATTGTCAGAGCGACGAAGACTTTATTGTTTCCTCCAGGACAAAAGGTTCACACTTTGTAGCAGAGCAGTTAGCACAATTCCACCCTGAGGATGCCAGAAATGAGTAAATATTACTTTTCTTTAAAAATTCAGGTCAGCCCTTTCACCCTAATCCGTATTTGAAAAGCAGCTCCCACCTCTTTTCTCGCCTTCCGGCTTCCTCACAGCAGACACAACAAATACCTCCCCAGTCCCTTTTGTCTCATACCCCCAAATGAAAGACACCTGACTAAATTCAGCATCTGTCTCTTACCCTGCCAGGAAAGCTAAGCCGTAGGAGTTGTTCTTGGAAACAAATGCTGAGCGATGTGTCTGTGTCATCTGGCCTCGAGAAGGTTCTTCATTCTCTGAGTCTGACAGACGTGCAGGACACTGGCAGGGAGACAAGAGAGACAACACTGTCCATTTGGGCTTCCCACGGACTCTACCCTAGGTATAGTTTCAAATCTCTCGTTCTCTATGCCACTTCTGAGTTCCATTTTACACTTCCAACTGCCTCCTGGTGATCCCAACCTCAAATGTAGATCAAACTCAATATATCCAAAATCACATTATTTGTTTTGTCTAAGCCCGACCACCAACCCATCTAGAAAACTCAATGCTATGTTTGACTCTCTTCTTTCCCTTACTTCTAATTCATAATAACAATTAAATAGAGGTTTGGGGTACCTAACACTTCTAAATATTTTATTTCATTTACTGTTTATTAAAAGCAGGGATTATTATTGGTCTTTTACAGATAGCAAACTGAGGCTCAGAGTAGTTATTTTGCCCAGGAATACAGATTAATAATGGTTGAAGGTCGTTCTTAAATTAAGAGCAGTAGTTTCCAGTTGTCTCTATGCCATTTCCACTCTATCTACTCCTAAAATGTCTCAGATCTAACTCTCCCCATTTATATTCATTATCATTGCCTTACTGCAGAGTCTCCTCATGTTCTTCCTGGACTACTGCAACCATCTACTTACTGATCTCATTTTGTTCAGGCTTTCTTCCCTCTAATACCCTCCATCCTACTAAGAATTATTTTTTCAGCACACAGATTTCTATCAGTTCTTTGCTGAGCTCTTGGTGACTTCAGGATAAAGGCCGAACACCTCAACCTAAACAATAACCTTCACAAACTAGACCCAGCCAACTCTCTTGGTTTTTCCCCCACCAGTTCCCACACATGGAACTTCTTGAGCTCTAGTATGGTCAAATGACTTTTTACTCTTTATATGTACCACAGTCTTTTTCAAAACCTCTATTCTTTTGGACATGCTATTCCCTTTGCCTAAAATTCCCTATCTGCATTCATTCTCTGCCTATAAAATACTCATTGGCCTTTCAGAGTCATCTCAAATGTTACTTTCTGCAAGATTCCAAATTTCCCTAGAATTAGTTTTTTCCATCTTGTTTATACACACTCATTTATCATCATTTTACTTTGAAGTCCCTTTTTAGAGTTTTTAAACTTACATTTGAAAAGTCTTTTAGATATGCCTTTTACACGCCATATAATGAAGTTCTGCCTCATTACTCAATATGAGAGTCTTTTTCTTTTAATGGGTAGCAAATAATCAAACTGCCTTGTACTTTACACAATAAGCTCTGTGAGAGCAAGTTATCATTTTTTAAAATAACTCCCAATACCATTGTATAGTAAATAAAAAATGTCTAATCATTTAAGGATTAGCCAGTTATCTAATAATCAAATTATTATCAAAGTAAAAGCTGTAGACTTAGGCATGTAAGGCATCCTATGGCTCAGAGTACCCTGCATTCCTCAAATGCTTCATTATTCTCTAGGCTGACAGGCACAGACACACAATAGGCTATATTTCCTAACAGTTGGCCTTTGGAGAGAGTTTTGAAGAATTATAATTTACAGAAAGGCCTCCAGCCTGGGCAACATAGTGAGAACCAGTCTCTACAAGGAAAAAAAAAAAGTCAGGTATGGTGACATGGCCTATAATACTAGACGAGGAGGCTGAGGTGGAAGGATGGTGTGAGCCCATGTGTTTGAGGCTGCAGTGAGCTAAGATCGTGCCACCGCACTTCAGCCTGGATGACAGAGCAAGACCCTGTCTCAAAACAAAGAAACAAACAGAGAGGTCTTTCAACTTTGTAGGATTTCATTCCTTAGAGAGAACTCTGTTGTATAAAATATTCAGTGGAGAACCTTTAATAGCAGTAACCCATTATCAAATTTTATATAATATTCTCTTCTCAAATCTAGGAAAAAAGAAATAGCTTTGATACCTATAGACTCAACAGGGGAAAAATAATGGCAATTTCTGTCTATTTAAGCTTCTCTTCAAAATAATTTAAGTACCAAGTAAAGGAATGTTTAAATCCCAGCTCTGTTACTTAGCTATCATTGTCCTTATGGGTTAGTTGCTTTATCTTTCTAAGCCTCAGTTTCCCCATCTATAAAATAAAGATTTCTCTGTCTACAATAGAGATTGTGATAAAACATTAAAAGCACCTAGTACATTAGCTAATAAGTAATAAATGCTCAATAAGATAATTTTATTTGTTTTAATTGAAATACTATTAATGTTTTCAGAAAATGCTTAAGATTTATACAGAGATATGCCAAATTCCTTTTAATTACTGAAAAAATTATATTATTACAAATAAATAAGTAATTATTTAGACAAAAGCCATTCCACCCCTCTACACTTCTATTTCCACAAGACCTAGAATCATATGACAGGAAAATGCCTCTCATCTTTCACCTTTAATAGAAATAAGCCTATAGCACTATGAATTCCTAAAATAGTACAAAGCATGCCAAAATGAAATCACTGAAGTGAAATCTAAAAAAAAGTTGTACCTAAAACATTTAAAAGAGTAATAATACCAAGTTGGCATGGTATGAGGAAATTAGTTTAGTACTCTCATGTACTGCTGGTGGGAGTATAATTACACACAAACTTTCTGGAGGGTAACTGAGTAATAAATACCAAAAGTGTTAAAAAGAACACTACCTTTGACCTAGTCACTCCACTTCTAGTTATTTATTCTAAGGAATTAATGAGAAAAGTGGACTTCATCACAGTAGTGTTCAAGACAGCAAAATATCAAGGAGACTAGTTAAATAAATTATATAGTTAAGAATACTAGGAGTCACTAAATAATGGTGCGGATTCTTTATTTAAAGGGGAAAACATCATGATTTATGTTAATGAAAAACAGGTTATAAAACAGTATGTACACTAATTTGCATTTTCTGAAAAGAAAAACAATATATAGTGTGTATTTATATGCACTTAGGAAAGAAGTCTGCAAGGATATTTACTAAAATGTTTATAGGAATTATACCTAGGTTGTGTGGCAAGTGACTTTTCACTTTTTGCTTTATAATCTTTAGTGTAATTGTAACTGCTATATTTAACTGTTTTCCAACAATTCAAATTATTATTGTAGCAAATGTACAACACGTTGTAAGTCATAATTAGAGTAATTTCCCAGTCTTGACATGATTTAATATTACAGATCAGTTCTTAGAGAGTCTGGATCTGACAAGACCAGGAACAGCAGGTTCCTTCTATGAAGGACCATGCTGAAGGGTGAGCTCTCTGTATCAAGGTTGGGTTCTTCCGTGTTGTTTTGCCTGTGCCCATTTTATTTCGATTCTGAAAAAATAACATGATATAACCACTGCTTCTAGAGTATGTGCCTTCCTCCCTCCATTCAAATTCAGTTCCATAAACATGTATCAAACACTTGTGACACGCAAGGTACTACAGGAGATTTTAAAATAGGGAAGATATTTCCTATACTTAGCAAGCTTATAATCTAGCAGAGAAACACAAACACTAAAACCATAAGGTAAGGAGAATGAACTAATTCTATAAAAGTTACAAAGTAAGGATGAGGAATCCCTATAGGGTCTATGAACATGACAGCTTTTGAGGGGGACATGGAGTGATGAATAGCCTTTCAACAGGTAAACTGGGTGGCATTTCAGTGAGATAAAAACGCAAAAGCAAAGACCTTGATGAAAGCACAGAGTATATATCTGGGGAAAACACATACATATTCCCTAGAGTTTTGAGGTATAAGCAAGGATGGAAAGATGAACTTGAACCATAATAAGGAAGGATCTGAATGTTGGGGTGAAGAGTTCTCACTTAATTTCACAGGAAAAGGGGGTCATTAAAGTTTGGGGACAGGAGAATGAAATGATCCATCTAGTTCTAATCATAATACTCCTCATATAAAAAAACAATCCTTTAGCTGAGACAATTTAAGATTCTCTTGAGTGTCGATTTGCATGTAGCCTTGGGTAAACTAAATGAAATTATTTGCTCAACACCAAAAACCTTAAGATATGTTTAAAGCAAAATTAGAGACAAGTGAAAGTCCTCAAACATATAAAAGCAAACGGAAAAAAAGGCAAAAATCTAAAACTTGAAGTGTTCATAAGTCATAATTAGAGTAATTTCTCAGTCTTGACATGATTTAATATTACAGATCAGTTCTTAGAGAATCTGGATCTGACAAGGCCAGGAACGGCAAGTTCTATCAAAGGACCATCAAGGGTGAGCTTTCTGTATAAGGCTAGTTTGTCCTAAGAAGAAAGGCTCTTCTAGGTTGTTTTGCCTGAGGTCCCTAATGGGCAGTATTGTTGGGGTGAAGAGGCAGAGCTGCAGCCTTTAGAAGCCAAAGCTGGAACCACCAGACAGAAGACATACTATATCCATATATCTTATTCTTGCCTTTCTAGATAAATTATATCCTCTCCAGTAGCAGTCTTTGCCCGTTGTGGTTCCTCCTGTACAAATGCCTGTTAAACTGAATCTTTTAGAAGGTTGAAATCCTAAGGAATATAAGTCGCTGTTTTAATAATAATTAAATAATAACAAATACTATTATTTTATAGCTGGAATCAGAAGCTCCCATATGCATGTGGCATTCAGCAAATACTACAGTTCCAAATAAGCTTAAAGAATTTCCATCTTAAATTCAAGAAAAATGCCTTTGCAAAAATTAAACCAAAGCACAAAGAATTTAAGTAATCTGGTCAAAGTTATAGAATTGGCTACAGTGCTGGAACCTGTCTAAAATCAAACTTTTTGCCCAGAGATTTTTTTTTTCTACTCTGCTATGTTGCCTATCTTTATATATTGTAAGGCTTTATCAATTTCAGTTAACTAGAAAGATAATCTGAAATACTAACAAGCCTGAATCACAAAATAAAAAAGAGAAGACTCTCAAGATATGTTAAGTACATGCAGTAAACAATAGATATCCAATCCAATATGACTTATTAAAGAAATAAAACTCAATTATAATCATTTGTTTAGGTGTAATTAGTGGGTGTTCCAAAAGTGCTTTCTTATATCAGATTGAATACACAGCTTACAACCTTTTCTAGTAAGTTATTTGGCAAATAAGTAATTTAAAAAATCAGGCAAGATTTGGCCCAATTAGAAGTCTAATTAAATTAAGTTTAGACTAAATATCTAACCCTACCTTATATCTAGCACTCTGCTGCTTAGAGCATTTCAAAAAGTAAAGGCAAGTAAAATACAAGCTTTAAGGAAATCTAGTAGAGGATATAAGATGTACAAAGCTTAAATGTCAAATAACACACAGATCAAAATGACAATATGTGTAGAAAATTTATCACAAGTAATATACTGTACTAGGTTTTTCCCTCACTCATTTTCCCCACTGTTCCTTAATCATCCCCCAAGTCTCACTGTTCCATTCAAAAATTTTTTTCTCCAGCTCTCATCTCAACTTAGAATGCTAAGTTCTTTACTACTCTTAAGCTGCACAGTCAATGACTGTTTTCATAATTCACCAACATAGGACTTTCAGATCCCTGTCACCTGGGCTAGTTACTGATTTTTGAGGCAGATGACCACCAAAGAGGTGATTTACTTACACGCTCCAGATTTGTTTTCAGTACTAATGGCTCATCTCTTTTTTTCTGTTCATCCATTTTCCTCTTCCCTGTTTCTGTATCCTCTGGTAAGAGCTTGTGGATTTGATCTTCAGAAGTTTTTTCCTCTTGTAATTTTTCTTCTCTCAGCTAAAATATAAATTATACAGAGACCATAGAGTTTTAGGCAATTCTAGACTTAAAAACATCTTTTATTCTGTAGGCTATTAGAACAAACAGATCATATGGCAGATCTGAGATGTTTTCTTATCAGATATAGACCCCTCTTGATTTTTAAGTAAATCTGCTTTTACTTGGCTTTTGCCAAACATATACTTCATGTCTTAAGATTTACTGCTCTGTATTCTTGAGCAATATGAAACCATAAGAGCTACGAAAATACACATCAAAAAATAACGTTTATTTACATAGTCAAAAAAGGCTGAACCTAAAAACTTTCCCTATTTCCATAAACCAGATGTAACTTCACTGGGCCAGGAAAAGAGCAGAGATGTCCAGAAAGCGCAGGAAGCTGAGCTAGGCCTCACGGCAACACAAAGAATAACTTAGTTCCAATGTCCCACATTTATGCTCTTATCCTGTGGTCACAGGAGAGTTCAAGATACATAGTCTACAAAGAAATGTAAGGCAAAGGCATATACTCTTTATTTTGTGAGGTAGCATGGCATTATGAAAATAGTATGAGCCGGGCTTGGTGGCTCAGCCTGTAATCCCGTGCCTTTGGGAGGCTGAGGTGAGTGGATTGCCTGAGCCCGCAGGTTTGAGACCCGCCTGGGCAACTTGGCAAGACTTCATCTCTACAATAAATCAAAAAATAAGCCGGGCGTGGTAGCGCACACCTGTAGTTCCAGCTACCTGGAAGGATGAGGCGGAAAGATAGCCGGAGCCCAGCAGGTCGAGACTGCGGTGGCCAGGAGCGGCCACTGCACTCCAGTCTGGGCGACAGAGTGAGACTCCAACTCAAAAAAAGAAAAAAAAGAAAGAAAATAGTATGGGCTTTGGAATAAATATCTGGGTGATCTTAGGCAGATAAGCCATCATTTGCTTGCCTCCAAAATAGGGATACTGTTAATTCCTTTGCAGATACTGCTGTAAGGAATATATGAGATAACAATATAACAGTATTTAACATAGTTTCTTGCTGTTCACTTAGAGTACATCAAGAGCTCCTTTATACTTTATTCTCTGCCTAGGGTTTCAATAAAATATATATTCATTTATTTATTTATTTTGACAGAGTCTCACTGTGTCAGCAGTCTGGAGTACAGTGGTGCAGTCATAGCTCACTGTAGCCTCAAATTCCTGGGCTCAAGTAACTCTTGATGCCGCAGTCTCCTGAATAGCTGGGACTACAGGTGTGCACACAAACCCAACTAATTTTTATTTTATTTTTTGTAGAGAAAGGGTCTTGCTATGTTGGTCAGGTTGATCTCAAACTCCTAGCCTCCAGCAATCCTCCTGCCTCCGCCTCCCAAAATGCTGAGATCACAGGTGTGAGCCACTGTGCCTAGCCAGTTTTAATAAAATTTAAAGGAGGTAATGTACATCGAAGCAATTATAGGCTACTAATATGTTTAATCGTTCTTGTAGGAAAAAAGCTAAAAAACAAATATTTTTGATAGGTTACTGCCACAGGGTTCAAAAAAAGCACAATAACAATAAACAACAATAAAGTCTCAGTCCTATCTTTCCAATTTCTATAGGTCTGATTCCTGTAAACATGAACTGCTCTTTAAAATATTAATGCATGAGGTTATAAATATGCAAGGAACACCATACACAATACTATGCCAGGAAGACATTCAAATAAAATAACTCACTACCAACTCTGTCCAATTCAACACAAGGGAAAGAAAAGCAAACCTACAACTAAAGTCTGTGCTAACTGCCCACATAAAAGAATTAATGGCTTTCGAAAATCATCGATGAGAAATTCTTTTTCAACAACTCGACTTCAGGCTACATACACCAGGGGGCATTTTACTTTTAGAGGATAGAGAGTTGCACAAAAGATAATAGGTTTTAGCATCATAACAATTGTTATCATTTACCAAACTCTATGTCTCATGTGCCAGGCTAAGCACTATGTATACATTATCTCACTTAAGAAAACTAAAGTTTAAGAGTTAGGTGACTTGTTCAAATTCACACAGCCCTAGGCCCTGGGGCTGGAAGGCAAATCTAGGTCTCTCTTAGCAGTTCTCAACCAAGGAATACTTTGCTTCCCCTGGGAACATCTGGCAATGTCTGGAAACATTTTTGGTTGTCACAACTGGGGGAGTGGAGTCTGTATGCTGCTGGCATCTAGTGGGTGAAGGCCAGGTACTGCTGTTCAACATCCCAAACAAACAGGATAGCCGCTCCAATATAAGCATAAACAAATGTTGCTATTTTAAGAAAAATCAATATTAGGTTTCTCATTTTACATATTTCAGTGTTATTTTGTTCAGTGCTTAATGATGTTTTCACACTTACTACATTCTCTGGCTTTTCTAGTGTTTAAGAATGTATCCTTCTGCCTCCTAATAAGTGTTATTGCTGTTCTCAAAGTTTTTGACAATGGACTTTTGCTGCTGGCAAAACAACCTCTTCATTGCAGTGTTGAGTCACTACTAACAGACCATCATCGACTAAAATTTTACAAAAGCTAAACGTTTACAAAAGTGAAAAACTTGTGTATCCATTTAAATCTCTACATGAATCATGCTGGTGCTTTCTATATGGGGTTTTGTACAAGTTTTTTTGTTTTGACTTTGTCCATTTTTGGTGGTTATTTATAAGCATTTGAAAACTTGGTCTCTAGGAAAAATTTTATACTAAAAAAGACTAAGGAAGGATCAGAAACTAACATTATAAACTTTGAATTAAAAATATCAATAACTATTGTTTACTGAATTCTAGGTATTAAGTTTACAAAGCTTATCTCATTTAATCCTTAAGGACTCTATTTATCATTATCATTTTATACACACAAAAATTTAGATTCAGTGGTTATTTCTCAAAGTCACAGAGATGAAACATTGAAGAATGTGGACTTCAAAGCATGTCTTTGGCATTAATGGGTTTTTCAACCTCAGCACAACTGACATGTTGGGCTAGATACTTCTTTGTTGTAGGGGCCTGAGCAGTCTGAAAAGAAGGCTTATGCACAAAAACTTTTGGGAGGAGCAGGAGTTAAGGACAGAGTAGCATAACAGGCAAAGACAAACCAATACAAAGCAGTTGGCACATAGCTCATTACAAGGACAATATGAAACTGTAGGAAATGCATCTCAAGACCAAAGTGTGCCCCATGAAGTGTTAAATAACCGTCACATGGACTTCTATAAGCCAAGTAAGCTCCCATGGTAGGGGCTGCAACAGTGACAACAGAGATGCTAACAGTGAGTGGTCAGCAGCAGGAGCCTCACCAAGGAGAATGAAGTTGCCCACTACTGTAAATGGAATCCCTTTTCCTGCCCCCATTTCAAATGCTAATTACTAGAGAAAAGCTATTGACTTCTGTACTTTCCTCTCATACTTAGCCACAGTACCAAAAATATCAGTTTTTTTCCTGAAATATCTTTACTTTGCCCTCATTATTTTTTTTTTAAATCAGTATTTTTTATTTTAATATTGTGGGGTACAGTTAAGGGTTAGGTATACAAATATGCTTCGTTCAGGCACCCTTGTTGATAAGAGGTGTCTCCCCCCCCAGACAGATATTGACTACTGTTAATCCCACCTCCTTTCCCCTCCCTAAACCCCCAGTTTCCCACCACTATCAATCCTTTTCTTATAGTATTACGATAGATGTTCAAGGTCCACTATATAAGTGAGAACAAGTGATACTCAGATCTTTGTTTCTGTGAGATCACTCAGTATTATAGACTCTAGTTCCTTCCAGATTGCTGGGAAATTCATGATTTTGTTCTTTTTATGGCTGCGTAGTATTCCATCATGTATATGTACCACATTTTTTTAATCCAGTCCTCTTTTGATGG